AAGCAACCTTGTTTCTAATTTAAACTTAAATTTAAAAATTAAAATTTAAAAAAATGAAGCCACAGTGCCGTGCCTGCTGCACATCCTGTGTCTGAGAATGTGCGGAGGGTGTCGGGGATTGACAACACAGACTTGTTCAACGATGTAAATAAAACTTTAAGCAGGCCCCAAAAAGGCTCAAGAAAACTTCCCAAGAAAGGCCTCCCTCCAGAAAAGCTTCTGCTCTTTCCTCCCCCGGGCTGTTTCTGCTCTGATACCTGAAACTGACTTGGGTGTGTCAGAAGAGGTGGTTAGTCTTTTGACAAGGTAGAGGTCAGGGCGGTTCCATGGGCCAGCCCTTTTCAGGAACTTATTGCCCTGGGCATTGTATTGTTTTTAGTAAACATTGTCTTACAGCTGCCTACTCCCAGGCTGATGGGGAAGTGGGTCTCTGCCCAAGGTCTGGTATCCCCACACCACAGTCTCCCTCATATCAAACAGAATTACAGACCAATTTCCCTCATGAACATAGTTGCAAAAATGCTAAATAAAAATACTTATAAACTGAATCCAAGAATGCATCAAGAAGATCATCCACCATGATCAAGCAGACTTTATCCTAGAAATTTTTGTTTAACATACAAAAATCAGTCGATGTAATCCATCATAGAAACCAAACCACATGGTCATCTCACTCGGTGCTGAAAAAGCCTTTGATAAAATCCAGCACCCTCTTCATGATGAAGGTCTTGGTGATATCAGGGATACAAGGAACATACCTAAATACAATAAGGCAATTTACAGCAAACCAATAGCCAACATCAAATTAAATGGAAAGAAACTCAAAGCAATTCCATTAAAATCAGGAACAAGACAAGGCTGTCCACTCTCTTCATATTTATTCAATATAGTAATTGAAGATCTAGAGGAAGACAACTGAAGGAGATCAAGGGAATAAATTGGAAGGGAACAAGTCAAAGTATCATTATTTGCATATGATATGATAGTATACATAAGTAGCTCCAAAAGCTCTACCAGGGAACTCCTACAGCTGATAAACACCTTTAGTGAAGTGACTGATTAACTAAAAAAAATCTGTAGCCCTTCTATACACTAATGACAAATGAACTAAGAAAGAAATCAGGGAAACAGTACCCTTCACAATAGCCACATAATTGTTGTGGAATAATCCTTTTGTACACTGTGACCACGGGTCACTTGGATTGGTTTAATAAAAAGCTGAATGTCCAACCACTAGGCAAAATTTTGGGGGGCAGAGGGAACAATGAGAGGAAGCAGTATGGGCAGTACAGAGTAAACGTAATAAAGCCATGAGACATAAAGTAGATAGATGAGATGGGTTAATTTAAGTTGTAAGAGCTAGTTAGTAATAAGTCTGAGCTAGTGGCTGAGGTTTCTTAATTAATAAGAAGTCTCTATGTGGTTATTTGGAAACTTGCTGGCAGAACAGAAAAAGTTCAATTACAAATAATACAAAATATCTTGGGGGTAACTCTAACCAAGAAGTCTTGTATAATAAATCTTCAAGTCACTGAAGAAAGAAATTGAAGAAAATACCAGAAGATGGATAGATCTCCCATACTCATGAATTGGTAGGATTAACATTTTAAGAATGGCTTTCTTACTAAAAGCAATCTACTGATTCAATGAAATCCCCATCAAAATTGCAACACAATTCTTTACAGACCTTGTCTACAACCTATGGACACCCGATTGTATGTATGTATGTATGTATGTATGTATGTATGTATGTGTGTATGTATGTCATAAATACACAATGGGAAAATAGAAAGTATCTTTCAACAAATGGTTCTGGCATAACGGGATTCCAGCATGTAGAAGAATGCAAACTGATTCAGATCTATCACCCTGCACAAAACTCAAGTCCAAGTGGATCAAACACCTCAACATAAATCCATTAGAGAAACAGGGGAATAGCCTTGAAATCAGTGGCACAGATGACAACTTCCTGAACAGAACACTGATGGGGCAGGTACTTAGAACATCAATCAATAAAGAAGACCTCAAGAAACTGAGAAGATTCTGTAAGGCAAAAGACACCATCAATAGAGCAAAACAGTGGCCTACACAATGGGGAAAGATTTTCACTGTCCCCACAGCTGCAAAACCTTCGACCTACAATATGTCCTACAAGACAATGGTGGCACCAACTTGTAAGAGTGACCAACTCATGACTTGTAGATATTCTGCTATACTCATAGATTGCTACCAAACCCAACTGTCATCAGAGAGGTGTCATTCAGCAACCCTTGGGAGCAGCTACAGAGATCCACAGTCAAACACTAGGTGGAGCCAGGGGAGCCCCACAGAATATGGGGAGGAAGAGTTACAGGAGCCAGCAGGGTCAAGGACACCATGAAAACACAGCGTGCATATCCAACTAAGCAGGTTTCACAGGGGCTCACAGAAACTGAAGCAAAAATCTTAGACCCTGTATGGTTCTGAGTCAGGTCCTCTGCATATGCCTTAACATTGTGTAGCTTGATGTTCTTGTGGGACTCCCAACAATGGGTGTGGAGATGTCTCTGACTCTTTCACAGGCACTTGGGTCCTATTTCCTCCTACTGGGTTTCCATTTCCTGCAGTGATATGAGGGTTTGTTCCCAGTCTTATTGTGTCTTGTTAGGCCATGTTTGGTGGATATCCCTGGGAGGGCTTCTCTTCTTTCTTTCTTTCTTTCTTTCTTTCTTTCTTTCTTTCTTTCTTTCTTTCTTTCTTCCTTCCTTCCTTCCTTTCTTTCTTTCTTCCTTTAGGAAACAGGAGAAGTCGATCTGAGGGAAAGGGATTGGGAGGAGTGGAGGGAGGGAGAATTTTGGTTGGGATATAATGTATGGGAAAAGAATAAACATTAAAAGAAAGAATGGAAAGGAGAGAGGGAGGGAGGGAGGGAGGAAGAGAAAGGAACAAAGGAAGGAAAGAAGAAAGAAAGGAAGGAAGGAAGGTAAAACCTTGTGCTTCACCTTAGACATATTGAACCAGAACCAGCATTTGAACAAGAGCCCAGGTTATTGTATGTATAGTGAATATATTATTACTAAAAACTACAATATGACAGACAAAACAATGGAGGAAGATGCGGAGCATATGTGGACACTCAAGCTTCTCTCCCTTCAGTAACTTCAGCCTGTATTGACTTGTAGTTGAGTCTTTAGTAGATGACTAGAACAACTTTCAAGTGCTTCCAGACTTGGGGAGTGTATGGAAAGTGAAGATTTGTCTGATGTGAAAAATCTCCAGTCAAATCAGAGAAAAGGCTCGCTTTCATCTAGGCAGAGGTAGTCTACAGAGGGTGAGAATGCTGTCACTGCCTAGACAGACTTAAATGTCTTCTTTGTTTCTCTGCAAGTAGGTCTGATACTGCTGGGTTTGTTTCAGCTTTTGTTGTTCAACACATTTTTAGAGTCTCAACTGTACTGTGTAGCCAGGCTTGAAAATCACAGAGAGTTAAGTAAAGCTTTCTACCCGAGGAGTTTCTATGGCAGCTGATAGCTGATGACAGCTGATACCTGGTCCCCCCCACACACACACAAGGATTTAATCAGGCTGAGATGACACCTTAAAGATGACCCCCTGATGTCACCAACCCCAGCCCTTTAAGCACCTCCTTCCTTTTCTTTAAAAGCTCTCAACATCAGCTGCAGTCAAGCCCCACCAGGAGGAGGGTGCTACTTTGAGAATGACAATGCTCAAGCACTCCAGTCAAAAAATGTTCACACCTGGGCTGCAGATCTGGCCCAGTGGTTAAAAGGCTGCTTTCTGGAGGACCCAGGTTCAATTCCGAGGACCCACACGGTAGCTCACAATCTCTGTAAATTCAGTTCCAGATATAATGACCTTTTCTGGCGTTTCAGGCACCAGAACACATGCGTTGTACACATATACATGCAGGCAGAACATCCATACATAAACAAACTACTCATGCCAGCATTTAAGTGAAAGGAAGTGCTTCCCCTGTCCTTCCAGCTGAAATCTCATGGCATGTGTTACTGAGCCTCTTGGTGTTTATTTTTGTTCAACAGCAGTAGAAAGAATGCATGGTGACCACTAACTATGTACATAGCCGGCGCTTTTGTGTTCTGTATTTGTACAGAATGTATACACCTTGCACATCTAACAATGCATTAACAGCCCAAGTCTCTACTTCTATAATGTAATATTAGTACGTTCTGCTCAGTGCTGTGCCGTTTCGTGTGTCTAATTTTATCCAGAGCGTGATGGCAGGCAAATGAGGAGATGGATTGGTATATGCTTTTTTTATTTCCCACGAGGCATAAACAGTCCGACATTTCCCTCAAGATTCACAACATCCTTGCCAATGGTTCTCCCAACTTGTGACCCAAAGACCGTATCAGAATCCTCCTGGGTGACTGGGGCCAGCTTCAGACTTTGTGAATCACAGTTCTTGTGTGTGATCCTGAACTCCGAATTTTCTATAAGCACCCCAGGTAATGCCAATGAATACTGAAGTTGTGAATGCCTGTCTTAGAAGGAGAATAGAAACAAGAACTAAGGTGAAAAGAATGCCCTAAATTCAATATTTAATGAGCACCTTACGCGGGCAAAATGTCAGCACCAGACAATATGTGCTGGGTGCCTCCACAAAAATCATAACAGAAAGCAACACACTTAGAGTGTCAGCGTTTTCTACAACCACCAGGAAGAGGGGCCTATCTTCCCCTGCGTGAGAGTGCTGCGCCCGATGCTCTACATAGCCAGTTCAAGCCACGGCTCTGTCCCAAAACTTTGGGTTTCAGTGTTTCCCTAGAAATCAGTTTAGAGAAATTTCTACATTCCCTCAGTTCCAGGAGAGTTGTTTCAGGTGCTAGAACACTCTAATGAGTAGTCTGCAGGTCCATAATTCCAGGTCCCACAAGCTACTTCCTTGGAATCCCGTTTCCACCTTTCTGGTACGGGACTCCATTTCCCAGAAGGCCGCGCAGCATGCGATCACGCGAGCCTTCAGGGAAACTTGCCGGTTTTTTTTCTCGCCAGCCGTAAAGACGCACGGTATTCTGGGACTTGTAGTCTGGCCAGCCCTTGGACGCCCCCTCAGATGAATGGGGCCGGGGATGACTGAGAACTACAGCTCTTGGGCTGGCCGCGTCGGTGGCAGCCGCGGAAGAAGAGTGGACGAAGACAGCTCTCCGGCAACGAACAGCGGGCGGTGGTGATGTTCAGTGAGGACTTCCCAGGGTAGCGATCTGGAAGGGCGCTCAGCGCGCTCGCACCCTGTGCTCCTGCCCCGGCCATGCGCCCGGCCTTCGCGGTGGGCCTGGTGTTCGCAGGCTGCTGCAGTAATGTGATCTTCCTAGAGCTGCTGGCCCGGTGAGTGACCCTCGCGGGCCGCGCCCGGGCTCCCAGGGCTGGTCCCGGGCTGCTCGCCTTGTCCTCCTCCCCACTCCACTGCCCTGGGTACCCGCGCCGCCCGCTACTCCGCAGCCCTGGGTACTGCTCCATCTCTTAGCATCCAAGTGCCCGGGACACCCGGGGTGCTGCTGTCGTCTCCTCGATGCCACACTTTGGGAACTTGAAGCTTGGAGACTTTTTTCACTTGACTGAACCAAGGTCTCGGGGAGCCAGAGGCAGAACCAGTTCCTCCGCCAAACCACCCTCCCTCCCCCTGCTGCTCATCCAACTCTAGCCCTGTTCTCCGTCCAGTTAGTGAACGACACGTGCCTGTCCGGAGCAAAGCCTTCTCACAGGCAAAGCGGTCTCCACTCTTGTACATGTTGCAAAGAAAGTTTCGTCTGTGTGTACTGACATGCCCGGCACAGGATTTGCTCTTACTCGTCGTAGAGATAGATGATTGTGAGGACTTTCCCCAAACTCACGAGTGAGTGATGTGGAGCAGATAACTACTGAGTCCCTGAGCATTTAGCGTGTTGCAGTCTTTAATTGAGAAGCGTGCACTGTGAAGCTAAGCTTGAGAGTGACGGTGACACTTTCCCAAAGGGAGCAGGGCTGGCTTTGTGGTGGTGGTGTCTTACAAATAATGTTGAGTAATAATGTGCAAAGTTCAGTGGGCAGACGTTAGAGGAGAGAGGAGGTGGAGTGGAAAAGACTTAGTACTAAACAGCTCACGTTAGAAATTTCAGGTTTGGCTCCACTGTCGTCTGGCAATACAATCTTTTCCAGTTTCTTAGCGTTCCTGGGCCCCCTTTCCAGGCAGTTCAATAACATCTCAGTATAGTAATAACTAACTACAGGTTTCTAAGTCTATATACTATATCCATTGGCTCTCTGAACAACGCTGTGCTTCAAGAGTTACATTGTTTGACTCAGAGTGAAACAGATACAAAGTTGGGCGGCCTTTTCACTATTTGTAAGGGGCAGAGCAAGAAATGGTGTCTAAGATGTCTGTCTAAGCTCCTAGCCCAATACCACGCCCAGTTCCCTTTCATTTTTAAAATTTGAGCGGTCCATAGTGAGATCTCTGATATAAATGTATTTTATTTGATGCTGTTGGTTTAAGTCCTTTTGAAGCAAGCAGTTTGCTTATGGTCAACTCTGGATTAATTTTTGCTGTTAGAGAGCCTGCCATTTTGTTATGTTGATGAAGGATTGTTTGTCTTGGGAGTGGTAAGGAATATGAAAATGAAAAAAAAGTTGCTGGCTGTAAGCCTGATACACTTCAAGGGAGGAGACTTTGAAATTTGGTATATATTTAATACGTTTTTAAATAAAAAGGTGATATGTTCAGGCTGACTATAGAAACAAAGTCAGATAATTGTGTTGAATGTGCCATCAAATTAAATGAAGTCTATGTGTACTGGCTTGTGAGCTCTTGCCCAAAGTACTTGGTTTCACCCATCAAAGGGGCATGTGTGTGAGCTCCTTCATCCCCATCGGTTCTGAAGGGTTGAGTGAGATGCAGGTGGACAGCCTGCTGCCCACTGGTGGCTGGCTTCCCCTTCTCCCTTACAATTTTGTTTCAGTACAGGCATACCTTGTTTTTGTTTGTTTGTTTTTTGTGATGATCCAGAAAACTTATGGATAAATTTATCTTTATGAAGTTTTTTCATTCCTCACAGGAACTTTCATTTAGAATTTTATTAAGAACCGGAGTTCCCCCCCCTCCTTTTTTTGTAAATCTGCATTTTGGTGTGTAATTGTGGGGTTTTCCTGCAGTGGTAAGGAAGTGGGCTTATTAATGCAATGTGCAGTACATTAATTAGACTGATGGCATCTTATTCCTGATTTGCTTAGGCATATTACACCTTCCCATTGTAGAGCAGTAAAATCGGACCTGGTTAGACCAGAGGGGCTTTAAGATTCCTTCTAGCCGGGCGTTGGTGGCGCACGCCTTTAATCCCAGCACTTGGGAGGCAGAGACAGGCGGATCTCTGGGCCAGCCTGGTCATCAGAGCGAGTTCCTGGACAGCCTCCAAAACAATACAGAGAAACCCTGTCTTGAAAAACCAAAAAAAAAAAAAAAGATTCCTTCTACATAGGATCTTGACATTTGTGGCTTTAATCTTGAGGAATTACCATAGGGAGCTCATTATAGAGCAGAAAGTGTCCTTAGATGGCTTCCTTGGAGCCCTTAGATGTCATTCTAAATACAAAGACTGAAATGATTTGGGAAGGGTATGCTGAGCCATTTACCCCCAGTTGGAAAACAAACTCAGGTTCTTCTTGCTGACTTTTGTAGACCTCTGATTGGGACTAGGGATAAAATACAAACTCTGTGCATTGAAGGAACAGTGACATAGCAGTAAGTGAGATCTGGATTCACCTCTCAAGGTGCTTCTGGTCAACCTTCAAAACATGATATGCATATATGTTTTATGCATGTGCTGTATATATACACACAGAGAGAACTAACGAAACAGGCAAGACATTGTATCTTAACATCAGGATAAATAATCTAAAAGATTTTGTTTTTTTCCATTTAATTTTTCCATCAAGAACATGACATTGAACTAAATAAGGAAGTTCTATGTCCAGGAAAGAAAGAAACGAGGTGTGAACCATCTGCCCGATTCATTCCCTTCAAAGTTGCTTTTTGGTTTTTTAAGGTTGAAATCTGGGTTTTTGCCAAGAAAATCCCAAGTAAGAGAAGCTGTCTGCAGTTGATGTTGTAAGTGTTAAGAAAAAAAGAGAAGGAAGGAGTCGGGGAAAGCATCTCACATTTTTATTTGGAAGCTTTAAAGTGAGTTATTCCAGTTCAGAGAACACTCCCCCCTCCCCAGCTGTGCCAGCTGCTGGTCCCTAAAATGCTCTCTGCATTAGCTTAAAGGAACATTGGGTGTAGGATCATGGGGTTACACAGGGAGGCTTACACATGCTATAGAAGGACAAAAAGTAGAATAAAATTATCAGAGGTCCTGGTGGGAGAACCAGAAAGTGATTCCTCGGGGGACGTCTTTCGGGGTACCCTAAAATTAGATGGTGGTAATCATTGGCTGATAATAATAGCAGTGATATATAAACCCCACTCATTTGCCATGAAGTCCTACTTGATGGAGAACCATGTTGTCTTCATGTCTTTAGTGATAAAGTATGTATAAATAAAGGGAAGATTGCAAAGATCATCTGAAGGATACCATTGTAACATTTGTAAATCTTTCACATCTTTTACACAGATGCTAATATCCTAGAGCACATTTGCCTAAAGTGAGGCCTCCCCACCCTCACTGGCTGGCTTGAGTGAAGACCAGACTGCATCCCAGGAGTGGGAGTGCCCGGATGAAAGGGACACGGTCCATCTTCTGAACATTTCATGATGGACTGTGTTTGCTGCCTGTAGCTCACGCCTGGCTCCCGTGTGCTTTTCCTTCTCCACGAGCACGCTTACCTAGCACACACTCTTGCATGCAGAAGAGCAGGCGCACCCTTTTCCCACTAGGATGGAATGGGGAGCCTTCGAGAGCACAAGTTCCCAGGGCCTCAACCCAAGACAGTGAGATGAGTGCTGGGAAGGTGAACCTCTCCAGGAACATGGCTTCTTTGTTCATTCATTCATTCATTCATTCACTGATTCATTCATTCACAGTACTGGGTATTGAATTCAGTACTTCCTGCACACTAGGCAAGTATTCTGTAATACCACTAAGCTATGTATCTAGCCCTCTACTTCTTTCTCTTTAAATTTTGAGACACAGTCTCATTAAATGCTGCCTCACCTACTCATAATGCTAGGCTTACATGCCCACACTGCCACGCCCAGCCTGATCCATGGGTTCCTGAAAGCCAGCTAGGATAGAGTTGACTAGCACTGTGATGGGAACCGTCTAGAGTTAAAGTTCTGTGCTCTTGTATTGACTAATGGTTTTAATTAGATTCTCGAATGAGATGAATGTCTTACACAATTGTTTATGGAGTCCTACAAAGTTTAGCCTTGCCCCTTGAACCCAAGAAAGACAAATGGTTGGCCTGCATCTAGAGCAGTAGGTTTCAAGGAGCCGACATAGGCAGCAGAGCTTAAGTCCGGCACTGTGTCTGTCTGAGATGGCAGACGCCGCTCTTTGGAGTGCTGTGTTCCGTAGCTGTCTCTGTGCACGTGGGAGTATTAAAAGATTTGCACTGGGGGTGTTTAGGTCAGTGGTAGAGTGCTTGCCAGTTTTGTGTGTCAACGTGATGCAACCTGGAGTCGTCAGAGAGGAGGGAGCCTCAACTGAGAAATGCCTCCATAAGATCAGGCTAGGCAAGTCTCTGCAGGGCATTTTCTTGATTAGTGATTGATGGGGGAGGGCCCAGCCCATTGTGGGTGGAGCCTCCTCTGGTCTGGTGGTCCTGGCTTCTATAAGAAAGCAGGCCATGGGGAGCAAGCCAGTACACAGCACCCCTCCATGGCCTCTGCATCAGCCTCTGCCCCCAGGTTCCTGCCCTGCTTGAGTTCCTGGCCTGACTCCTTCGGTGCCGAACAGTGATGTGGAAGTGTAAGCCAAATAGACCCTTTCCTCCCCAGCTGCTTTGGTCATGGCGTTTCACTGCAGCAATAGTAGTCTAACTAAGACACCTAACACGTTCAAGGCCCCGGTACCCACTTGTGTATCTTGCCATTAGTGCTTGGTATTCACAGCACCAGTAGAGAATGGAGGTGACTTTAATAAATAGCGTTGTATTGATCGTATTCATCTAAAACTGCTCTAAAAAGCCTGTTCAGTGGGGTCAGGTGGGTGTCTGTGGTTAAGATGAAAAGACAAACCCTGAAGCTGGTAATACTAGTTTTAGGGGGATTTTGATGCTCACTTGGGACGTCTTCCGCTATAGAACAGAACTGGAGGGTGGTTCAAGGAAACCATTAACATTTCACAGGACTAGCTTTCAGAGTGGCTCAAGAGGGACATCAGAAATAACTTTGGTACTATGGCATGTGTTCCTGTTAGTCACCGTGGAAGATTCCTAGCGCTTCCGTAGAGCACTGATGAGGATCTGTTGAATTCCAGGAAGACCTCTTGACTGGCTAATGTATTGAAGAACCACAGTAAGGGTTGTGGAGAACCACCGTGTGCTACAGCAGGATTTCTCAGTCACTTTTAGCTTACCGTGCCAGCCCCAGAACCCATTTTGACAGTGTACAGATATGTATCTGTGCCTATTAAAATGGCAAACCTCCTCCCCATCCCCAGAACTATTTATAAATCTTTGGGGACACTGTCTAAAGTCACACCCCTATCATCATGTGACCAGTAACTCCTGGTCAGTAGAAATAGATGAACATTCCAGGAGAATTCCAACATGTTCCTGTCCTTGACTAGAGACCCTTTGGGAAATGGGGGATTACTAGGAAATTTCCTGCCACTTACTGGGAAAACCATCTCATATTTCCTCGCAATGAAAGAAATTCTCATGCAGGGCCTTCCACTCTAGGGAACCCTGACAGAGTAGAGTTGGGCATCCCCTGTGACGTACAGTGTCCAAGTGTGTGATCATGGTATGTGAGAGCCACAATGAGGAAGGACGGTGGCTGTAGAAATCTATCCTGTTATTTTGGTGCCGTAAATATAACAGGTTGTGGTGCATTTTATCTGAGTCTGTGCCTTGTGTCTTTCCTCTCTGCTCTTCACCATACAGGAAGCACCCAGGATGTGGGAACATCGTGACGTTTGCACAGTTCTTATTTATTGCGGTGGAAGGCTTCCTTTTTGAAGCTAACTTGGGAAGGAAGCCACCAGCTATCCCACTAAGGTATGACACATTAAGGTCTTGTTGAGTCCTTTAAAACCTAAAAAGTGGCGCCTGGACAGAAAGTGTGAGGCATGTGTTTCAAGTTTCAAGCGGAGTCATTAGTTTTATGAATTACATTGTTATGCTCTAGAAACCTATTTTTAGAATAAAATTCCTGCCCGCAGCATTTAAAGTAACTGTGATGGCAGTAAGTACATATGTGTATAATACAGGGTCAGAAGGACTAGGGTGACCACAAATTTCTAATATTTGTCATTTGTGTTGGCAGAGTTATTGATTATGCTAAGAGTACTATCATTAAGCATCCTGAAAAACAATTGGCTTTTGGAAATAAAAAAGCAGTGAGTATATAGCATGGCAGACTACTAAATGCCACTGAATTATTTGCTCAGAAATGGTTAATTTTATGTCGTGTGAATCTCGTTTCAATTAAAAGAAAAGTGAATGACAAACTAACAAGGAATTGTTAATGCCAGACTTCTGTCCATCATTCCAGGATTGCCATAAATATCTTCACACACAAGGCCAAATATGACATTTCTCATGATGGCAGACTTGAGATAGAAGTGTCCTCCCCTTGGCATTTAAGTGGTGTCACTCAGCTTCTTTAGGAATAAAATTCCCAAGTGAATGTCCCCAAGAACTCATGCTCATCCTTGTCAGTGTTCTTTTGCTGCCTTCCGTAGCTGAATGTTTTTCTCCATCCGTCCGGTCCCCCTGGACTGGTTTCTCTCCCGATTGTATATCCCCATAGTCACTTACAAAATAGCCACTCAGAGGCGGCCTGGTTGTTGGTAGAGCACACCTTTAATCCCAGCACTTGGGAGGCAGAGGCAGGCAGATCTCTGTGAGTTTGAGGCCAGCCTGGTCTACAGAGTGAGTTCCAGGACAAGCTCCAAAGAGAAACCCTGTATCAAAAAAAAAGCAGATGTTACTTAGAAGTTGTGAGGAAGTCATCACTAGTGGTCTTGCATGCCTGTAGCACTGTTCTCTGTGTTAGTTGTCAAGTTCCTTAGAGCAGCCTTGGCTTTGCTTGACCATTGTAATGTCTGTCCAGCTCCATATCTAACCAGCAACAAAAGAGAAGACACTGTGGGGATCAGCGTTGTTTTATTCTTTGCATATTTAGACACAAAACTCTTTGGAAATCTATACCCAAGGTCGAATATTTTATGAACGATACGGAACCATTGTTTACTTTTGCTCAATATTATGTAGGCATTTATTTAAAGATTTTAAAAAATATTTTTGAGCAAATTATGAAATTGCTGATATTTAATCCTTTTTGACTTGCAAAAACATGACAAGAATGTGGTTTAGCTTAATATATATGAAAGGCAACGTGAATATTTTTGTATCCCTTTATCATGATTATAGATTTTTTTTTAAGACGGAATCTCATTTTTCTTTAGATTGGTCTCAGACTTGATGTGAAGGTGAGGATGGCCTTCAGCTCCTGATTCTTCTGTCTCTACCTCATAGTTCTGGGATTGTCAGTGTCTGCCAACACGCCACCTTTATGTGGCATGGGGAGTGAACCCAGGGCCTCAACCTGACCTACATCCCTAACTCCTAGGACTTTTAAAATTTTTAATTTTCATCATAATTTAAAAACTTCTCAAATGACAACGACTCTGGCTGGACATGGTGGTGCACGCCTTTAATCCCAGCACTCAGGAGGCAGAGGCAGGTGAATGCCTGAGAGTTAGAGACCACCCTGGTCTATTTAGCCAGTTCCAGGCCATGGGGGGGTGGGGGAGATACTGAGTGTAAGTCTATACAAATCAAAGAATATCCTCATTATTTTAGAGTCTTCTGATTTGCTGTGTGGGATAGTTTTCACTGTGGCTAGGCTGAACATGAGCTTGACTTAACAAATCTTTGGAATCTTTTTTTTTTCAAAATTAAGAAAAATAGTATTATATAAATATACACAGGGCACATTTAAGGTAATTACCCATTTTCAGATTCCCCAGAGGCCTATGAAAAGTATCTACAAATAACTAATATATTAAAAAGGATTACCTGTCCACTTAAAATCTGTTACTATGGATTAGGTAATGTTTGTAAAGCCTAGAAAGTCTGTTGAAAAAATATTCAAGTTTTCCTTAAACATATTCAGTAATTCAGACTTTCCCCATGCTAGTCTGACTTGTTGAAGTGTATGTCTTTAGTATTCAACTTTACGTTATAATGGTTCTTAACAGAGAGCAAGAAAGCCAAGTGTCTTTTAAATGAAATATATGTATTTCCTCTATGTCAACATTTCTTGGAAAAGTGGGCTCCTGTGATGCTGTTCTCTTCCATTGCAGGTACTATGCCATCATGGTAACAATGTTCTTTACCGTCAGTGTGATGAACAACTATGCCCTGAATCTGAACATCGCCATGCCCCTGCATATGATATTCAGATCAGTAAGTGCCAGCTCACATGCGTGTCCTCTGAATAGCATAGTGAAGTGGGCAGACCCAGCCTGGGGCAGAAGTCGACAGTCTTAAGGAAGTCAAGTCTAGGGCATACGAATAGGTTTGCATTGAGTCTCTGAACAGGATGGCTCTCATCTGCAGCATAAGGTAGAAAAAGAGACCTGGGAAAATGGGAAGTGAATGGCTTTCGTTTATCTCAGGTCTAAGGTATGGCTAATAAAAATAAAATTGAAATTTCTCTGGGAAATAGATTTGTTTCCTGTTTTCTTCGTCTGGCTGATTTTGAGCTTTTCTTACCTCAGCCCACCTTGCTTTGTAGCTCAGGCTGCCTTGGAGCTCTCCGACCTCTGCCCCAGCCTCCTGCATGCTGGGTTTACGGGCTTGTCCCGTCACACCCGGCTGGACAACTGTTGGTGAAGGGGACTTATCTCAATATGATTACCCGTTTTCTTCATTACTCTGTGGGTGATGAGCTCTCTCTGTAGTCGGTGTATAAATAAGAGCAGAGTGTCCCAGAAGAGTGGGGAGACATCAAGGAATGTGTAGGCGGAGTTGCAGCTCACTGGTGGAGACAGGAATGACATTACCTTGTTGCCTGAGATCGTTATGAGATTAAGTGTCCTATTCCTACATAAGGCAACTGTAATCATCGGGGTGACCACATAGCACTTCTGTAAACTTGTTGGTTGCTTGATACCTTCTAGAGCAGAGGGAGATCCCTGCTTGACTTCCTTCATGAAGAGTAGAGGTGGCAACAAGCTCAGTGGAAGTTTTATACATTGTGATGGGAAATTTGATGGCAGGAGGTCCAAAGTATCATCCAGCCCTATTACTCATACCCTTTATTAACGAGAGCAGATCGTTTTCCCCATTGTGTCTTGATTGAGTTCATTGGGTCTCTTTTTCTTAGTGATTTTCATCCTTCATTCCATGTTTTCCCTTGTCTTCTTTTACAGGGCTCTCTGATTGCCAACATGATTCTAGGAATTATCATTTTGAAGAAAAGGTAACAGCACGCCTTCATGTTTTGTATGTGGAAGTGATATTTCAGGTGACCTCTGTGGACTGGTCACCTTTCTTTTCTCACTGTGGTAAAAGGCTGCTCTTGCTCATCAACCTTTTCCTGAAGTCTTTCTCTCAGAATCATGGGTAATGACGATTTTCCTAAGGCAGCTGACCAGGCCAAAGGTTCTCCTTGTGGCTTCCTGTGGGACCAAACAGCTCTCCGACCACTGGCTCTTCAGTGCCTTGTCAATCTGTAAAAGCCGTTGACACCGAATTCACTGTGCAGTTTGGTCACCATTAGCCACGTGTGAACTTACATTTTCTAAGTGAAACAAAGTGAAACATTTCCGCACTTTTACTAGTCGCATTTCAAGCACTGAGTAGCCACATGTGGCAGATGGTGGCCTATTGGAGAATGCGGATATGGAGCATTTCCAGGGAGTGGCACGGGAGACATGTGGGTCAGTTGTCCTAGAAAGTGCTTGGTTATTTGCTCTGTTTTTATTCTTGGCATTCCTGGGCCTGGATCGCAGGGTCTCACACTTGCTGCAAGCATTCTTATCAACCCGAATATTCAGCACATATGAGGTGCCTATCCGTGTACTGTAATGAACTGGGGAGCAATTTTATATGTTAAGACAATTTCTCGTAAAGGCCCAAATAGACGCTAAGAAGAGCAGAAGGCTCGGGGTTATTCTTTGTAACGGCTGCCGCGGTGTGGTAGAATTGGAGTGGGAAACGGTAGGAGCAGCAGGGACGCTACTTCACAGTAGCCACCTCTCTCCTGAGCCTCGCCCTTACTTGCCAAGGAGAAGGTGACATTAGAGAGAGTCAGTAGGGAGTCTATAAGATTTCTCAGGGGAAGGTCATCCTCATTGTTAAAGCCAATGTTGTGTAAGTGATGCCACATTTTCAGCTGGCCAGTTCCTGGTCTCAGTATCAGGGCTCTCTCAGCTTGAGAAGAATCTGCCAATTCAGAAAGGAAACCTAAAGGGGTTTTGTTTTTGAGATTGTTTTTTGAGATAGTCTCATTCTAGCCCTGGCTGGCCTGGAATGAGATATGTAGACCAGGCTAGCCTTGAACCCACAGAGATTCATCTGCCTCCGCCTCTGCCTCTTGAGTGCTGGGATTAGAGGCCTACAGTACCATACTGCTTGACTAGAACCTACAGTTTTTTTTTTCCTTTTTTCCCTTTTTTTTAATTTTCCATTTTAAATTTAGATAAGAAACAAGGTTGCTTCACAAGTCAGTACGAGGTCCCTCTCCCTTTCCCTCCCCTCCTCCCGTGCCCTCCCTCCATCTCCCCCCCCCCCCCCCCCCCGTTATCCCCTCATTCCCCCAGGGAAGGTGAGGCCCTCCATGGGGGTGTCCATAGTCTGTCATTTCATATAGGGCAGGGCCTAGACCCTTCCCCACTAGTTCAGGGTGAGAGTGCACCTCACATTGTTCTACAGTTTTTAAGTCCTAAAGGCTGTATCCAAACAAGGACACTGTGCTCCTTATCATGTGTCCTTTATCTCTGGAGGCCTTGGAGCCCTAGGTGAGTGCTGCTCTCTGTGAGCTCTCCTCAGCCCTCGCTGCCTTTGTACAGGATTTTAATGACCAGATGTTTGTTTAAGATAAAGGCTGTACTTGATAGCTAAACTGCACCTTGGAGACCTAGGTTCCTTCCTACACTTTGATTTGATTCATAAGAAGATACTGTATGTATAATACATATTTATGTAAAAGAATTATAATCTCCTGATACAACCTCACACCGTCAGGGGTTCTTTTAAACACCTGTTTCCCTTAAGAGTTGACCTGGAGTCTGTTGTCTTGGGTCTGAGCCTTTGACCATCAACAGAACAGGAATTTCTCTAACTTCTCTACATTAATTTATTCTACCCCCATCCCTTCCTCCATGGTGTTGGCAATCAAACTCAGGGCCTTGTCCATGCTAGGAAAATGTCCTGCTGCCAAGCTCTGATCCAAGTGTACCTTCTTATTTTTCTTGAACGGCCCTTTGGAGAATTTAAAGACCACATCTATATTTTTCTTAACCATTATTTTGGCTTCATTTTTAAACTCCTTCAACTCGGTTTCTAGACTGAACTTTTGCTATGTAAGGATTTATTGGCTTCTATTAACTACATAGTTAACTCAGTGCATTATGATAAGTTCATATACTCATGTATACATACACAATATATTTTGATTATATTCCTCCCCAAACCCTCTTGTCCGTCTCCCATTCCTGCTGAGTCCTCCTTCTTCCAGCCAAGCCCTCTTCCACCTCAGTACCCACTTCTCTGTAGTGGGGCTCTCCTGCCTCCTCTTCTCGGTGCCTCAGCCAGTCAGATCAGCTCTGATGAGGCATTGTCACCAAAAGATACAGTGTCCTTGGGTAGAAAAGAAATGATGATTCATTCTGCAAGTTTAATTTCTTTTCATCCTTCCTGGGGCCTTTCTCTTGATTACCAAGACTCTGAGGGGGATCATAATGACACCATTTTAGTTAATGGGAAATGTTACCATTATGCTGCCCTTGGCTCTACAAATTATATATTCCTCCCTTTATCCAACTGTGCCAACATTTTACAGAATCATTTAAGTTATTCATATTGTTTTTAATGAAATACCTTCCCTGGAGAATGGACATTATTCCCTAAGTTTTGACTGTTGTCATTTGTATCTGATAATCTGTTGTTCCTCTTGAATGGTGTGTGTGTGTGTGTGTGTGTGTGTGTGTGTGTGTGTATGTGTTAAGACATAATTCTGGGCTCTTAGGATTGGAAAAGCCACAGCTACAGGTGAAGACTGGGTAGGCTGCATTGGCTTCTGGAGAGCAGAATGCAATGTCATGTGACAACCGGTGCATGTCTGTTTTCTGGTTTTGTTTACTTTTTCAATCTCTGATAAAACAGCCTGCTGGTCAACACTATGGTGATACTGTAGAGGATTACACTTGGATCACATACTACCCGACTGGAAATCCCGTTAAATGTTGTCCCCTTTCCTAAGATGTTCTTGTCCTTGTTTTTCAGATACAGTATGTTCAAGTATATCTCCATTGCCCTGGTGTCTGCAGGGATATTTATTTGCACTTTCATGTCAGCAAAGCAGGTGGTAAGAATCAGCTTTACATCCTTTGTATTCACTGCTTGTCATCAGGCTCCTTTACTAGGCGCCCATTAATAAAGAAACTAGAGTGCTCACGTAACACAGGAACTAAGAATGAATGGAGTTGAAGGAAGTGGACAGCATAAATATTCCCCTTGCGTCTCAGATGGTGTTTGCCATTCTGGCCTCTGTACCTACTCTATTTTCTTATTTCCTAGACTTCCCAGTCCAGCTTGAGTGAGAAGGATGGATTCCAGGCATTCGCATGGTGGTTACTAGGCAAGTATAGCAGTTACAAGAAGCTAATTACCTCCGCACTTTTGTTTGCTGAGTTTTCTCCTATGGGACATGTTTCTTGGCAAGAAGTTTAGGCTAAACAAATTATGCCTAGGAGGAGAGTGGCACCTGGAACCAATATGTCTCTGAAACTTAGTGTTCAAAAAATTAGAAGGCCAGTGTTCACATTTTTGGCACCGTATTCTACGTAGGTCCACATTTCCCGTGGTTGTCACTGGCATAGAGAGCGTTATTATAGTTATATAGTTAATTCTCATTAGGAGCACTGTGTAGGGAGTCTTCTGTTTCCTAGCAGCCAGTCCACTGAGCAGAAGTGCCTGCAAAAGAAGGGTGACTTAGAAATCTTGACTCTCAGTTTCCCAGGGACACAGGAGCTTATTTTCTTCTTAAACTAACTGTGCTCCATATGGCAGTGTTCCCAAATCAACTCTCATGAGAACTTTTAAAAATACAAGTATCTCTGTGTGGAATTAATTAGACAACTCCTACAGGGCCTTGTCCTCACTTGGGTTTGGAGGGGGAAATGTTTGCAGTAGTAACAGGAGTGGAGTCACACTGATGGGTGGAAGAAGGTAGCATCAAAGCCTGTGTCCCCTTTATCTTGGCTTTGAACTTTAACCCTTTAGCTACTGTTCTTCATAGAAAAGGTCTCTGCACTATCAGGAAAATACTTACCCAATGGGAAAACTCTCAAAGATATGAACATACAATTTATAGGAAAAAATTAATGTCCAGTAATCTTATGCCCTCATAAGCTAGTAATCAAAGAAAACCAAGTAGAGTAACTTTTCATTTGTGACTTACCTTATTGGCAAGAGGGTAAATGGCACTGTCACTGCTGAGAAAGGAGAGTAACAGCCATTCTCATGAAAGCCGTTAGCAGAGTATAATTGATTGCCTTTTTCAGAAAATATTGTGTATTGAGTTTTTTAAAGGTCTTAAAGTTTTTTTAACATTTGACTCAGCAGTTCCATTTATGAAAAAGTATCCTAAGGAAATAATTAACATTTTAAGTATTTATTAAATATATTGACTTTAGAAAAATGACTGGAAATCTAACTGGTCTCATTGCAAGACATTTCAGTGTGGTGCAGCCACTTTGAAAACACATGTAATAAAGCTCATAAAGGAAAGATCTGGAAAAACCTCATGAGAAAGGCCAGGTGTAAAGGGTGTGGACACTCTGACTCTGTCTTAGTATACAGAAATGTGCTTAAGGGTGTGGAAATGGGAAGCTAGAGGATTTCATGGTAGTATTGTGGTTTTGAAATTTGCATGTCCTAGTGTGGTAATTACAGAACTATAATAGACCAAAGGCACCTTGTAACCTGATCCTGTTTTTTAGGCATTGGGGCACTGACCTTTGCCCTGCTGATGTCAGCAAGGATGGGTATATTCCAAGAGACTCTATACAAGCAGTTTGGGAAACACTCCAAGGAAGCATTATTTTATAATGTAAGTGACTTTTTGAATCCTGGGGAAGTGAAAATTTCTGATTTATGATGTGTTATGCTGAATGAAAGCCTAATATAAATGACAGATTGTAACCGGCCTGAGGTTCTTTAGGCAGGGGGATAATGTGCATTTTGAGTGACAGTTAATCATCTGAGATGATCATGATCAACCAAATAGAACATTTAAGGAACAAGGAGCCAAGGCCTGCAGAGTTCCTGTAGGTAAAATTGTTAAAATTGATGTGGAAACCCAGAAAGAGAAACCTAGTCCCAAGGCGGGAAGTCAGGAGTGTGGAGATCAGGGGGGCAGCCTGGGGATGGGGATCCAGGGCCTGCATCCCCAGAAGGGCTTTGCTCACACGGCCGTTCAATCCACTGCATGGACCGGCCCAGCTTCTCCACTTTAAGGGCTGACCTGGCACTCTCTCCGCCCCTCCTTTGTGGCTATGGAAATATGTCCAGAGAACTGCCCCCAAGGCCAGGGTGAGAATCCCCTCTATGTGCAATTAATCCTAACAGGCTGTTTGACACACTCACTTGGAGCTAGAGTTTGTGGCTAGGGATTTTTAAAAAGTAAGCATTTTATTTGGCTTGTGTCTTTCTTTGTTTTAAAGATTTATTTATTATGTATACTGTGTTCAGCCTGCACGTACGCTTGTATACCAGAAGAGGGCACCAGATCTCACTACAGATGGTTGAGAGCCACTATGTGGTTGCTGGGGATTGAACTCAGGACCTCTGGAAGAGCAAACAGTGCTCTCAACCTCTGAGCCATCTCTCCATCCCCTGGCTTGTATCTTTCATTGAGAACAATGCCAGGCACAGTGACAGCTCAGCGAGCGTCACATGGTGTGACCTCACGTTGTACTGCTGTCGTGAGGAAGGACTTTATGTGTCCTCTTCCTCTTTAGCCTCAGCTCATTTGTTTTTCCTTGAGCTCAGATTGCCCTCAGATCTCTTTTTGTACTAGTTTCTGAATTCTTTGCAATCTGTGTGGTCCTTGTGATTTTCCATCCAGGATGGAGCAAGTCTTTTTGGGCAGAATAACTGTGTGCTGAAGCCCCCCCCCCTTTCCCTAGTTGCAGTGGGCACCCTACTTCTCTGGTTTTCTCGTTGGTGATCATCAGACTCCATAAGATGTCATGCCATATGATGTCAAGGGCACAAGGCACTGATAATTTGCCTTTGAGAGCTAACTTGCTTATTGGGCAGCTTCAAGTCATTGTAAAGCTACCCTGACTGCTCTGTATTGACTTTGTATTTACCTATGTGATCCATTTCTTCCCACAGCACGCCCTTCCACTTCCTGGTTTCATCTTCCTGGCTTCTGATATTTATGATCATGTTGTTCTGTTCAATAAGTCTGGTAAGTCTGGGGTCATGTGGCAGTACTACTTGCCAGTTTCTGAGGCAAGGCCTCAGTTTCGCCTTTGGCTCACCCACAGCTTTATCTCAAGTTCATCAGAACCTCTGCCCCTCCCAGGTGTCCAGATGGGGCTGTTAGTCAGCAGTTGCAGCAGCGAGGCCTTTTACACACTCTTTCCTATTCCCTGCAAATAAGAATATCCTCACCTCTCCTCGTTTCCTTTGGGATTGCATGTTTGCGTTTGAACATGGAATGTTACATGTTTTGAGAATGCAGACAGGTAGTGCCGGCACTCAGTTGGAACTGGGGCCCTTGAAGTTGGGTAACAGCCTTCTGTCTCTGTGTCTGTCTTCTGCCATGAAAGGCAGAGCTGCCCACAGATCTAAGCTGCCTTGGCACCAAGCAAGAGGGAGCAAAATGATGGCAGGGCTCGACTCCCTAGCTACAGATTAAATGAAAAAGATAAATTAATTACAATCAAAATAAAATTTAAAAAGAATATATGAAGGTAAGCTGTTGCTCCTTAGAGTGCCGACTTGGTAAATTGATGATAGACAGTCAGTCACCCTGAAAGAACACACACGTACAATCTGATCATTCAGATAGGTGAACTCGTAAGAAAACCACTTTTGGAGGGAGGGGGACCTAGGATTGGAATGTAAAAAAATAATTAGTAATAATAAAAAGGAAAACCCTTTTGTAAATCAAGGCTTTCTGTTGCACACACCACGGGTAGTAAATCATTTTGTACTGTGTCGTGCTGCTCTTCATATGCAAGGCTATGTCTATCATCTGGCCTAAAAATGTGTTACAGAAGTAGGCAGTATGGGAGAGTCCACAGGGCCTGACTTCCAAAGCACCATTTCCCATTATTAGTAGCATAGTTGTGAAGATCCCGAGAGCCCCATAGAGCTCCAACTCTTCGTGTAGACTGGTGAGTAAAGGCACGGACTGGCCAACTGTTTCTTAAGGGAAATAATGCCACTGTTCTGTTCCTGGCTTTGCCTGTGGAACCTCATTCAAAAGATGAACGGTTTCACTGCTCACACTGGCATGACCGTCTCCTCTCTTCTCCTCCGCAGAACTCTATCAGCTTCCTGTCATCAGTGTGGCTATGCCCATCATGTGGGTCTACCTCCTCATGAACGTTGTGACTCAGTATCCTTTCCTGTGCTCTTTTATTCGTGTCTCCATGTTGTCTGGCAGAGGAATATTCATTAACAGCGTAGAGGACATGAGTTTGGGTTTTGCCTTGACCTCTTCTATAGGGAGCTGGAGATGGGTAGACCCATTCATGAAGCCCCCTTGTAGAAGGGAGAGAGACCGTAATGGTGCAGGTCAGGTAGATCATGCGCAGAGGAACAGGACTCCACGGATTGGTTTAGAGCTAATCATGTCACGAGAGGAAATGGTCCCTGGTGTCCTAGGATACTGTTTATTGTTTCATGACTATTACAAGTCACTGCAAAGTTCTGACACAAACTTCAAATTAAGACTCATTTAAAAGTAACTATTTTAATAGAAGGATCTTACCACTATAAAAGTTGTGATATCTTAGCTGGGCGGTGTGGCGCACACCTTTAATCCCAGCACTCGGGAGGCAGAGGCAGGCGGATCTCTGTGAGTTTGAGGCCGGGCTGGACCGATAGCCTCCAAAACAATACAGAGAAACCCTGTCTCGTAAAAACCAAAAAAAAAAAAAAAAAAAAGTTGTGATGTCTTTAAAAAATTGAAGCAATTTGAGGCTGACTGCCTCCTTCTGAAATCACCACATAGATTTGCTATGCAGAGCTCCCCTTTGGAGGGGAGCGTGGAGGGCCCCAGGACGAGACAGAGGAAAGGTGAGTAGAATCACTTTCGTGACACTGCCACTCTGGCGTTATAGACGGTAATGAAAATCCATAGCAGTGGGTTCTTGGGAATGGCAGGGCAGGAATCTCTCAGGAAGTTCTGCCACGGAGGATCCTCAGAGTGAATCTTCTTGTTTTCTCGGCATGACAAGTTGAAGGCAGGAGTTGCGCCTAAAGCTTCCTCCCTGAGCGTTTACAGAGAAGCCTTAACCACTCCTCCAGATACGTGTGCATCCGGGGTGTGTTCATCCTCACCACAGAGTGCACCTCCCTCACCGTCACGCTGGTTGTGACCCTGCGCAAGTTTGTGAGCCTCATCTTCTCGATCTTGTACTTCCAGAACCCGTTCACTCTGTGGCACTGTCTGGGCACCTTGTTTGTCTTCATTGGGACCTTAATGTACACAGAGGTGTGGAAAAACCTAGGGACCACGAAAAGTCATCTGCAAAGGGAAGACAAGAAGGACTGAGGTCTGCCCGGGACAGATAGCAGTGTCACGTGACAGAGGCCCCTGGCGCAGGTCTGGTCATCATTTCACTTCGGCTACTGCGAAATTACCACAGTATTGAACCCAGCGGGCCCCAGGGCACCTCTGAAGGATGGGACTCACGTGCTCTTTCCAGACAGCATTTGTAGACTCCGTGTAGGCATCCCTGAGATAGAATAAACAACACAAGCAAGGCTACCAGGCAGACTATTGGCTAGCCTCTGCATTTGCTTTCCTGTCTCTATGCCAGGACATCAGAGTCACACGTGTGCGACCCCAGGTCCTCAGAGCTACTAGTTTTCTGCCCATGCATGGTTCCAGATCAGGCCATGCCCTTGTTGCTACTGATGGTTTATGTGTTGTGACCGCCATCACCCTTCTGTGGCTATGTACCACTTCTCTCCTACCACCCCTCCACACTTGAGCACTTTGGGGTACATCCGATGTTGCAGGCACAATCAGGCACTGAACGACCCGGTGGACATGTGAAAAATTAGACCCCAGGGATGCTGCTGCTGAACTCCCGCCAGTGTGTCGGGAAAGAGGCAGCCCCGGTGATGCTGGAGCAGACATGGGGACCCTCCCCCCCCACATTTCACTTATTTTTTTAATCAGCACAAGGATCACACGCCTCCTCACCTGCGACTTTCTGGGCTTAGAGCAGTCCTGCAGCGCTCGTGGCACATTAGAAAGGAAGAAAGGCTGTGAGTGGATTGAGACAAGGGAGACCTCCATCCATCTCCCTGGTGAAGCTCCTTAGCCTGTTACAGGCATGGGGATGGAAGTGTGGCCCGGCACAGCTCACTCCGCCGGCACCCTGAGAAGACAGCTGCCCCCCCTCCCACGAAGCCAGTCATGCAGTCATTTGGTTTCAGATGTGCCCAGTAATCCTGACGCTCTGAGAGTTGTCACCTGTCAAGTCACTGATGAGTAGATTGATACATAGGTGTGAACGTGATATATAAATCAGGTCAAATCCCACTACCAGAGTGAGGTCTTGTTTTCCCATAGACAGCAGACTGTTCTTGATGGATGTGGCTGTGAGGTTACATGTGAGCAGAACATATTTACATACAGAAACAGGCCTCTTTCCTGCTTCTCGTTCTGAAGGTCTGGTTTCCCTGTCATGGATAATCCTGAGAATGAGTAAACCTGTCAGCTAGCACATGTGCGTGTGAGCTTGTATGTGCCCTCAGCTGGGCTGTATGCGATTGGAAACAATGGACGTCCTCTTTTCTGCACTTAGACCCAAACCCTCATTAACCTCATCTAGCTCTCTGCTCCTCCGCAAACAGCTCAACTCACTGTTTCTCTTGCATCCAGACAAAGGCCTCTCATCCTTCTGCTATGTGCAGACTGTGCTGTGAAGCTGCACGTGGCTCTCCATGTCTCCTAGGCTCACTTTAGTTCTTTATTCCACTGTCTGAAGATGCTCTTTGATGGGGCTGAACAGCAGCGGGAAAGAGAAGTGTCCTAATCCTCGGGGGCCCTGGGGAAGGCAGTTAAAGCTGCCTTGCTGTTTTGTTACATTAAATACAGGTACTGTTCCTCCACCTAAGTCCCTTGGTTTGCAGACTTATTGTCATTCTGGCCACTGACAACTTCCCAGTGCCGATGCTCATCTCAAAGATGCCCACAAGCCCTTTAGCTGCTTTGAAATATGTGGGGCTGCTGGGACCAGCGTTGCTATAAATACCAACTGTTAAAATGTCCCCTTAAAAGGCTGTGGTATAAAAAGTGCTTTTCCTTCCTGTTTAGCAGAAGAATCTGCCCCTAGGGGCTCTTGAGGCTCTCTTCTGATTACTCCTAACAGGATAGAACCTTCAGCTACCCAGCGCTTTCCTGTCTATGCTGGAGAGAAGTACTACAGTTGGTAGCTGCCTGAGACTGGTTGATTCAGACAGGGTTTAACTGGAGCTACCAGGGTTTCAGAATGCGTATCCCTCTTAATACAAACACTTTGCAAGTTTTCGTAAGGGAGATGCAGGGACAAATAAGAGGTCAGAGCACTCACATCACAAAGTGTGCGCCTGCAGGGACAGCACAGGAGGGCCCAACCTGCTTCCTCCCAAACTCTAGTTAGAAGAAAATGCATCTAAGAGGCACTGCTTACAACTTTGTAAGATTGCTTTTCTAAAGTTTTTGTTGTAATTTCCTATATATATATATATATATATATATATATATTGCACATGGTCCCGTGGTGGATGTGTTCATACAATTGAGCACACCCTCCACTCACCCCCTCTTCCCTGGTGTCCGCCTCCCGGCGCCTGTGTTCCTCTGGACAGCTTTGCCTCTGCCTTCAGACTGCATACTCAGCCACGTTTTCCTGTCTACACAGTCTAGGAGCTACACAGGAGAGAGCGGTAGGATGCTTGTCTTTCCTACACTAGCTTCGTTTGCCTGCTAGGATTATCTCCAAACCCACCCATAAAATCATTCTTGAAAAAACTCATTCCTCTCGCCTGATTTTATTTTTCCATGCGGATTGCAAACATTTTAAAAGGGCAAATAAGCCATTTTATCAAGGCCGGACTCATTGAATGTAGAAGATGTCGGCTAAACATCTTTGTTCTTTCAGCTTCAGAAACAGCATGTAGTTTGACTCAAAGTAGAACTTAAGACATGTAAAACAAACAAACAAACAAAAAACTCCAAAACTATATGCTAGAGCAAGAATCAAATCGCAAGGACACTGGCCAGGAAATGTACTGTTGCTGTGCCCACGCAGTAGCCTGACTGGTGAATTTGTTGAGGTGGCGGGAGAGGACTGTGGATGCTTGGGTTATATTTATTACCTGCGAATCCTTTAAACAACGTCCTGTTGTAAACGCTACCTTCATCTCTTTTACTAGAAACGTAGTTTCAGTTTTTGAACTTTGTTCTTGCCAAACCCAGGGTCCCATACAAAATGTGCATTCTTTGATTTTTCTTTCCATCCAACGAAAACAACCAATAGCACACGAGATAAATTCATAGCTTAGTAAGTGGTGGGTTTTTGTCTTTCCTTTCCCCTTCTTGCTACTCCGTGCCAGGGTGGTCAGGCCGCCTGTAGCTCCCTCTTCTGGTCGGAGGAGCACATGGCAGGTCCCGGGGCCTTCATTTCCTGTGCCCCTCCTCCTCCCTTGGGGGGTCGGGCTTTGATTTTGCGCCTCTGTTCTTCATGACTGTACCTCGTTCCTCCACTGCGCCTGCATTCACCTGCGCTGTGTCATTCTTGCTCATGCGGCCGGTTCCTTGGGGCTCTCGACATGTTTTAAGAGTGTGGTGATGGGGGACATTTGGGAGAGTGCTTAACGGAGTGCGACCATGGAAGCTTTGTCCAAACTGTCCGCACATTCTTTTCCAGCTCCGCCCAGGAGCAGGAGTCCATCCCTGCTACCTGCCCCTTCTTAACTGGGTCTGTTTAGCCTAGAGGTGGGGGGTGGTAACTATGAAGTCAGGGACAATGGCAAGTCAGTGAATTAGCTGTGGGTGGTGGACATGTTACTGGAGAGCCAGTTTGGGTGAACCTGAGCAGATAAACACGTGCTTAGAGAAAACCTGAAACTGAGATCCTCTCTATGACTGGAGGTAGATAGAACTAGGAGGACTTCTGCCCGTTTGGTCTCGGTGACTTTCTGCTGGAAGTATTGACCGAATCTTTTTTTTTTTTTTTTTTTTTTTTTTTTTGGTTTTTCGAGACAGGGTTTCTCTGTATTGTTTTGGAGGCTGTCCTAGAACTCGCTCTGTAGACCAGGCTGGCCTCGAACTCACAGAGATCCGCCTGCCTCTGCCTCCCGAGTGCTGGGATTAAAGGCGTGCGCCACCAACGCCTGGCGTGTTGACCGAATCTTGTCTGTGGCAGTTCACGATAATGTTGAGAGAACTGCCAGTAGAGATGGAATGTGGTCATTGTTACCGTTAATTGGTGTGATGTCTGGAAATAAGGATGAACAATATTTAAGGACATATTCAAGCCTTGGAATATATTTGTAATGGCCAGAGCTGGGGTGGGAGACTGATGCCTCTCAACTTTATGGTGCATTCTCTCTTTCTAGAAGTTTCCTTTCTGCAGACATTCCAGGAATAGAAGGGGCCGGGGAGCATGCATAATTCATTTCTGAACTGCCAGCTCCTGGCATAGTGTCTGACATGTGTAACATGAGAAAATGAATGCTTGCCAAGGCCTCTTCCTCCCTCTTCATAATGGTTCCTTACAGCGATTCCCAATTCTCATTAGTTGGCTAGCAAGAAAGCCAAGGAAGGGGACATATCCCAATGACTCCAAATGCGAGAAGGAATGGGGAGCAGTTACTGCAGATGGCTGTAGAATGCTACCCAGCTTTTACCTACCTTGAAGCCTGGTTAAGTAAGAGCAAAGAGACTTGTATGGGTATTACCAGGTACAGTCCTGGAAGAAGCTCCCCAGGAGGCCATTGAGACTCCTAAGGGTTTTGAAGTGGCTGCGTGGTGACCGCCACACTCCCATCTCGCAACCCCTGAAGTCAGTGTTGCTGCCTGCTGCCTGGAGAGCTGTGTGTGTTTGTCTACACTGAGTATCTCAGATATCTGCCTCGAGCTCTGCCTACAGAAATCATCAGCAAGAGGCAAGCAGCCAGAGACAGAAAAGGCCTGGTCTGCACTCGAACACATAAGGCCCATGTTTGAGGGGAAAACTGCAGTGACCCCTTTGACAGACTGAGTTATGTTAGATCTTTTCTGGGGGAAGCTACACTCCTTGTTCCCCGGCTGCCTTCCTGCTTTGCTCACAACTGTGAGCGTTCCCATACTGTTTGCCTTCTTTCCAGAGAATGGCCTCAGCTTCCCAAAAAAAGATGACTTGGAAAGTAGCAAATTATGGTTGTGAGGATTTTATTCATTCAGCCTCTGAGCCCTCCGATGAGTGTTACATTTTAAGAACAAAGACCGGAGGAGGGAGCCTGTGGCCTCGGCGTGTGGCGTGTGCAGAACAGCCAGAAGACATTAGTGAGTATTCAGACTTTGAGCTGTGTAAATATCAGACACCACTCCCAGCCTTATGAGATGTTTGAGCAGTTAAGGAGGAAAGGGAAGGCTCTTTGAATAAAACGGTTTGCCACAATGAATGTGTCTTTTTACTGTCGTTTCTTGTAAAGAGCCATTTTTCACCTCTGAAAAAACTCAGCAGACATCTGGTTTTTATCTTGGATTTGCAATCACTGTTTCTTAATAAAAGTGATAAATCCCTGCAGGTGTGTCCAATCACCATTGCCTTCAGGGGCTTGTGTGTGGCTTCAAGAGCGCTCTTGTTTTTACCTTGTGTGTGGCGGTGGGACTTTCCACTGTGGACGGTTCTCAGCAGCTGATCCCTCCTCACAGCTGGATCCGAAAGAGGCTCCTTCCTGGGCTACTGCCTGATTTCCGCTTCACAGATTTAAATAGATTGGTCTCCCTCCGGGGCCCTAGAAGATTGTGGCAGTGTCTGCAGCAAAACTCTCCAGCATATCGACTTTTATAATTCTGTGTGACCAGCCCCCTTTCTCCATAAACTACATTACTTTTACATAAATCTTAACACAAAAGTCACGCATGCTCCAAGCAGTTTGTCATTCAGGGTAGTCACACTCTGCAGTAGCATGTGTGTGCACACAGAAATGCACCATGGTGCTAGAGGCCAAGAGTTCAAATCCCAGCATGTGTGTGGAAACAAAAAGTTCAAATCCCTCCTTTTAACAGCTGTCATGGGCTTTTGTCAGGCAGATCTGGGGGTTGTAAGTAGTCCTGAGCCTGCAAATTTGAACCGGAATGACCCTTGGAGCCCCTGCACACTGAGTCACACAGGCATGACTTGTTGAACTCTAGAATGTTCTGAACCACAAGCCTGAGAAGACACAGAGCTGTCGAGATGGTCAGTTATGTTTTGCTTCAAGTTTTGAGCTGCCTGTGAGGTTGCATGAGCAGATTGTTCTTCTCCACGGTGCCCTCTGAGTGATACCAACAACAAAACACAATTGTACAACTAGAAGCAGATCTCTGCCCCAGACGCCACTCACAGATAAGTCACCGGCACTTAGATCTACGTCACAAGGATCCACTTCCTATGCCCTCCTTCTTACACGAGCATTCACACACCCACCCGTCAAAAATGAGAGCATGCCACTGCGTTTCCTATTCATGTCACGAAGTCTCTACCTGGAAAAGCAAACATGGTCATGCAGGATTTATCAACAGCCAAAGCTTTTAGTGATGTTCTTTATCTGCAAATTAATGTAGTCATCTCATCATTAAAATGAAGTTATTTTAATGTATGATTATTTCTTAATCAGCACTTCAAAGATCTAGCATATGGCTCTGTTATTACACATGACTCAGAAGCACAAATGCTCTCTGAAGCCAAGGAAGCTTATGATGATAATTACTGGAACATATTACAGTCAATGAAGTGGATTGCACAAACACACATCCGTGTGGGTTTCCCTGAATCCCTAACATTTGATTTCTATAATTATATAATTCAATCCCCACAGGGAACCAGCAGTGTAAGGAAAAAATTAGTTTTGTTTGACAACCCAGGAGACTGAGGTACCAAGAACACCTAACTGATTTCAGCAGTTGGAGCTGTGAGACTCCAGAAGCTGTATTGTCTGTACTGTGCTACCTCTAAAGTCCCAGGAGTGAGACTGCTGTCTGCCTCTACTCACTGGTATAAGTCTCCATATGCTAAATGCCATCAATGAGCCTCTGCTGGCTCTTGCTCTTATCATACTAGTTTTGCTGCGATTCCTATTCTGTTCTCCCACAGCTCACGCCCCGTTGTTCTCCAGTACAAACAAGAAAACAAAAGCTCAGCAATCTTGTCACAAGACAGGACTGGTTCCCTGGTGTTCACACCAGAACGTACTTATTTTTCCTGGTGCTCAAGCACATAACTAGCCAGCATTATCAGATAGATGGTGAGCGGAACATAATTAAATCGTAGCTCTTACAATGATTTGCTTGAGTCTCTGCAGTTTGCGGAGTGTTTAATGTATGTGTTAACTGCTCATTTCTCCCCGTTCTGTCCCAGAAAGCTTCTTAATTAGGTTATCTCATCTACCTGGCCAAGTGCCATCCCAAGTTATACTTTGATAACAAATCCTCAGCCATTTTACAAGGATCATCACAAGAGTTTTTAGTTTCCATGATTCAGAAACCCTTGGCACTAATGAAATTTAATGCATTATCCATTATCCACTAGGTCACCTCACACCCTCCACTTAAATGAGAATTAGTGTTAGAGTATTGTGCAGTCCTAGCTCTAGAAAACATTTGCCTCTGCAGATGCATTTGCATATGCAATTCTCTCAGGAAATGAAAACTGCCATCCCTTTTATAGAAATTGCATCAGGATCACATTGAGCTGCATGGAACAGGAACCCAACATCCTTTACAAGGATGGGGGTGGTGGTCAGGGCTGGTGTGACCACCCCAGGAATTTGTCAAAGAAAATGGCAG